CTTCGGATCAAGTTTCTATTACTCTACCCACTTTCCTAACCGTGTTTCTATCAGTCATTTAGATAGATAGAGACTAATATAGATAGATAGTTTCTTTCGTTGGAGATAATCTCAAACCCCGTTCCTGATTAAGGTGAATTTGCCCGTTAGCATCTGAGGGATGTTTTAGTGGTCATGACAGTCGATATTCTATAATGGTCAAGACAGTCCATATTCTATAATAGCCATAACAGTTGATATGCCATTATGGTCATGGCATTCTATATGCCGTAATGATCATGGCAGCTAACATGCGTTAAACATTAAAGCCAGGAAGAATGCAATGAGCTGGAAGTAATAGCCAGGTGGGAAATACAATTATCACCATCATCCCCAACAAGATCCAAGTTAACACGATAGGCTCCTATGTCTATACTAGAGAGAGCATATGGTGGTATACGAAAAAGGAGGCAACCCAGTGTCATGAAGAGTGCCAGCACGATTCTGTGTTGTGAAATAATTAAAAAGCTAAATTCTGCCAGGTATGTGAACGAGAAAGCTGTGATACTGAAGAGCAATATTACACATCTGAAAAGATTCAGACACGCACACCAGCTCGTATGAAACTATGCCTCTAGACTACGCAGCAGACTAGGGCTGGAGAAACCATGCACCCCTATTAGCTCTAACGAACAAGATAACTGCTAAGGCACCCTAGTTCAAAACACAGCTCTTCATTTTGTAGCAAAATGTCTATTTAATAACGAAAGAATATCACACGCCTATTAACATGAACAAACGCCTACTCTACATCTTCAAACGTTATTTTGATCAAATGAAGGCGTTGTACATTGCAAGCAAAGATGTCCCACTAGAAATGTATATCACCGCCAGAAACTCTAAAATCCAGAAACCACCCCAAAGAACCAGATGAATGACAATGCAGTAGAAGGGCCACGAAACTTTACATCTCTTCAACCACTCAACATCAAATAGTCTTAAAATTTTATCTGTTCTGATTCCAATAAAACATTACCCTCACTCCCCAGCTCATCAAAAACTCTGGTTACAAATGTAATTACTGAATGGCTGGTTATTGCCGACACACCGGTGCAAACCACGCAACATTTACGCCAATTCATTACACATATTTTGAGTTTATAATAGAAAGATCGTTTACAGTTCTAAATGTTCCTGTACCCGGGCCCTTTCTGGGCCTGTACCCGGGCCATTTCTGGGCCTGTACCCGGCCCTTTCTGGGCCTGTACCCGGGCCCCTTCTGGGCCTGTACCCGGGCCCCTTCTGGGCCTGTACCCGGGCCCCTTCTGGACCTGTACCCGGGCCCCTTCTGGGCCTGTACCCGGGCCCTTTCTGGGCCTGTACCCGGGCCCCTTCTGGGCCTGTACCCGGGCCCCTTCTGGGCCTGTACCCGGGCCCCTTCTGGACCTGTACCCGGGCCCCTTCTGGGCCTGTACCCGGGCCCCTTCTGGGCCTGTACCCGGGCCCTTTCTGGGCCTGTAACCATATATAGAAACAAACCAATGAGAAGATAGTACTTATTGATCGTCTCCTGTACAAGTGGATCCTATACTCACGAGACTAACCCATTTACCAGTCACTTGTGAAGCGTGTATATAGCCTCACACAACTATCCCGACGACTCCTTAGTGATAAGAAGCGCAGGGTCGTGTCTGTCACTGCCACAACGGTCCTGCTAATAGAGCATCGCATTTTGACCTATGCTTTACCTAAGGGCATAAATCGTCCTACTAGAAAATAGTAGAGGCTCGCAAAATTAACATATTATCCCATTTTCTGTTTCCCAACCTTAGGAAGACGGGCTGGGGTAAGCCAGGTGGAGCCCGTGATGAAAAAGGGGCTTCAACCCTCTCCCATAAACATAGGGAATGAAACATGTGTAGTTTAAATAACGAATATAAATAATATAATATTTGTAATTATCATTCTCAAAACTAAAACGAGCAACGTTCACAATAACAGGAATCGTGAATTATATCTAAATATTTAGCTTTGAGTAACTGTAAAAGACTTCATTATAAAGATAAAGTTATCTTTCCCATATTTAGTTGAAGTATATAGGATAAAAAGTGGTGCTTAACGTCTAGAACCACAAATTGATAATATTATAAGATTTTTTTCGTGAATCCAAGATCAAATAACCTGCAATGAGTATAAAACCTGACTTAAGAAATAATATTGACTTAATAACGACGGTAAGCTAATTGTTCAGAATGTCAACATTTTCTCAAAGTACCTCTGGTTTAGCAGAAGAAAGACGCCCATGCAAATGCAAGCTAATGGGATGTCCCAGGTGACTGGGCCGCAGTAGAGCCGTGAGAAATTACCTGCCAGTCCAATTAGCGTATGAGGCAGGTGTCTCAGCCCAGGTGAGGCCCCCTCATATTGGCTCTTCCCCCAGCCACAGAGGTGTGTGTGTGTCCTGGTGAGGCCCTATTATGAACCAGTAGTTATCTCTAGTATATAACTCTAATTATTAATGTTAGTGAAAAGCCATGCTAAGCTTAGTTACTAATTTATTGTTTACTAGATGTTGTCTTATTACTTGTTTACTAGACCATGCCAAATATATTACGTTGTTCATCTGTAAGATTAATAACCTCCTGTTAGATTAATGGCCACCTGTTAGATCAATGGCCTCCTGTTAGATAAATGGCCACCTGTTAGATCAATGGCCACCTGTTAGATCAATGGCCACCTGTTAGATCAATGGCCACCTGTTAGATCAATGGCCACATGTTAGATCAATGGCCACATGTTAGATCAATGGCCACATGTTAGATCAATGGCCACATGTTAGATCAATGGTTACCTGTTAGATCAATGGCCACCTGTTAGATCAATGGCCTCCTGTTAGATCAATGGCCACATGTTAGATCAATGGCCATCTGTTAGATCAATGGCCACATGTTAGATCAATGGCCACATGTTAGATCAATGGCCACATGTTAGATCAATGGCCACATGTTAGATCAATGGTTACCTGTTAGATCAATGGCCTCCTGTTAGATCAATGGCCTCCTGTTAGATCAATGGCCTCCTGTTAGATCAATGGCCTCCTGTTAGATCAATGGCCTCCTGTTAGATCAATGGCCACCTGTTAGATCAATTGCCTCCTGTTAGATCAATGGCCTCCTGTTAGATCAATGGCCTCCTGTTAGATCAATGGCCTCCTGTTAGATCAATGGCCTCCTGTTAGATCAATGGCCACCTGTTAGATCAATGGCCTCCTGTTAGATCAATGGCCTCCTGTTAGATCAATGGCCACATGTTAGATCAATGGCCACATGTTAGATCAATGGCCACATGTTAGATCAATGGCCACATGTTAGATCAATGGCCACATGTTAGATCAATGGCCACCTGTTAGATCAATGGCCACCTGTTAGATCAATGGCCACCTGTTAGATCAATGGCCTCCTGTTAGATCAATGGCTACCTGTTAGATCAATGGCCTCCTGTTAGATCAATGGCCACCTGTTAGATCAATGGCCTCCTGTTAGATCAATGGCTACCTGTTAGATCAATGGCCACCTGTTAGATCAATGGCCACCTGTTAGATCAATGGCCACCTGTTAGATCAATAGCCTCCTGTTAGATCAATGGCCTCCTGTTAGATCAATGGCCACCTGTTAGATCAATGACCACCTGTTAGATCAATGGCCTCCTGTTAGATCAATGGCCTCCTGTTAGATCAATGGCCACCTGTTAGATCAATGGCCACCTGTTAGATCAATGGCCACCTGTTAGATCAATGGCCACCTGTTAGATCAATGGCCACCTGTTAGATCAATGGCCACCTGTTAGATCAATGGCCACCTGTTAGATCAATGGCCTCCTGTCATAATAATGGTTTCGCAGTAGAGAAGTAACTTATGTTATTGCGTGATTCTGTTATAACGAATATTACATTTCATCGGCTGATTTACATATCGTATTATTGCCTGTTATATAGTAATAAATTAATTCGATAAATGGCGATTTGGAGTAGATTATGTTGAAAGAGGAGAGAGGAAGAGGGGGGGGGGGCGTTATATCTTCTTTAGGGGTACAGGCGTTTGCTGGGTGTTCAGAGACTGACACACCAACACCCGGCTGCCAGGGGCTAGAGAATGTTACCAGGATTGTTCCCCACTTTTAGGATAAAAAAGTTATTCACGAATGTTTACCTGTATCCTTATAATTATATACATATCGTTTTTCCAGGAATAATATAACATCATAATTAGCTGGTGGAAAGGATGTATACATGTTTAGGGTAAAATAGGGGAGCACGGTATTGTTGGTAGCCCTGAGGTGTGGAGGTTACCCGCCACGGTGGCCAGCTCGTAGCAGTGGCGGTTGTGGATCGGAAGGAGGAAGTAAGTGTATCTCTACAAATTATCAGCTAAGTTTAGTATTTAGGTGATCTTTTTTTCATAGGCGTATATATATACCGTAGAACATTAGAGCATAGGAATCAAGGAAATGGCAGAAGGCATATTGACCCATACATGGCAGCTCCTATTTATACCAATCCAAAAATTTAGCTGGCAGTTGTGACTCAGTGTCTTGTGTTTGATTATATTATAGAGTGTAAGAACTTCTTCTGGGAACAGTTGTGATCACATTTTAGTGTTGACTATTTTTCCCACCAGGTACTTAAGTGCTAGTTATGATTATTGAATCGGTCAGCATAATCTCAACCCCTTGATCTCGGTTTTAGTAATTGTAAATAATTATCTGTTGTTTGACTGGAGTAGACTAGTTCCTACTTTTTATATGTTTTTCCATCCCCCACTTTGATAATACAGTAGCTGGGTCACATGGCAGTAACGAGCGCCATTAGTGAAACGAGCGCTTCTATATTTCTAATAACAACCCTACATGCTGGGTCTTCCCTCACCCACAGAGGTGTGAAGATGTGGCTCACTTACTGGCATTTCTGATAGCATATTAACGGCAACACCTTTGGGACATTATTAATACAATAAAACACTGTATTTCGTTATTTTTTTAATCGGTACATATCGTATACAAACGGGGTAAGAGGCTTTATGTTACAGAGCAGATGAGAACTTAATCCAGCTAAGGTGTAAGCAGGTTTAGCAACTGACAGTAAATAATGGGCTCTAGACTTGCGTACTCAACAACGTCATAACAACATGAAATCACCAACAAAACTTACACAGTATTTACATGAATATTTCCGTGGCTTGGACTTGGAGACTTGTGTCAAGTACTGTGCTGCTCCTGCAATTCTTAAGAAACATTTCTAGACACAAATAATTAACTATACATTTTCTTGTTAACATTTTTTCTTAAAACTATATATATTCATAATAAATGTTGATTGTGACTGACTTGCTTGTGTCTGTTTAAATATGCATGGCGATTATTTTAGTAACATATATATAAAAGCTCTGGTTAATATGTTTATTTTATTAATGTTACAAAAGGTTAACAATATGGTGGAATAATCAGCCAATCACTGTTCATTGTAAATTTATTGATCCGTCTCGAAAATCATGTCACATATGGCTGGAGTATTGGACCGCTAAATTGTTTCATGTTCAGATTAGCCATATATATGAAAGAGCTTGTTATGATATAAATAGTTGCTTCACATGGTCCTAAATGCCATATACAGTTTTCACAATTCATATGTTCCTATATTCTTACGTTCTGAGGCGAAATTGGTGATAACACGAATTTAGTCTCGCAAGTCCTCGCCTAAGCCAGCGATTCCAATTGATTGGGAAGAATATACCTATTTAAAATTCAGTTAATTTGTTTAATATTTTCTAAAGACAAAAATAATATAGCTTTATATGATGGTCTTCAATCTAATATCGTTTGAACAGTCTACACTCTCCTTTGTGTAGAAGGACACAGTCTTTCATGTAAGTTACAGCATGTGATATCTGTAATATGTAACAGTAAGCTACGTATAAAAAGTTCTTTTCTGGGACATTATACAACATTTAACAACTTATTGCATGTAACACTGCAACATGTGACGGATTATCACTCCCCATTAGTTAGCAATAATGAGGTGGAATTACTCCTCATCCGTCACTACAACACTTGCACCAGATTGGTAGAAAATATTCACGCATCAACAGTGTCTGTAAAAAACCGCTGTTATGTTGCAATATAGCATTTATTGCAAAGACAAAAAAGTCCTGTAGGACTTGTTAACATATAAAAATTCTTGTTTAAAACTAGCTCTCTATTATTCTACTCGTTTGTTCTGTGGTTTTGTTAAAAACTGTGCTTCGTCTCCCCTCATAACAAGTAGTTACCACAGGAACCCCTTTTCTTACGAGGCAATCACAAAACAAGGGGAAAAAATTCACCAAGGCTCACTTTTCACGTGTAATAAGTGCATTACAACAACATGTAATTCACTTATTATAGGTTGTTACATCTGACTTTTACACGGGGGTGAAATGTGTCTAGATTAAATTCACTCCGAAAACCTGTCCAGCTTTCACGGCCAGCACGAGGGCAAAACTCGCCAGCAAGGGGGGTTTTAGTAATTTAAGGAGATCGAAAAGGTTTGAAAATATATGACTAACTAAAATGTGTGCACACACATTCATCTACATACAAACATACATATGATGACATTTATGCAAGCATACACGCGCATACGTATATATATATATTGACGCACACTTTCAAGGGCAAACATATACACCTACGCACCTTTCTTCCCTCAGTCTTAGCAAGATGACAACTTATTAATCGAAGGAGAATTATTAAATATAAAAACCCATTGTTGATTTCCTTCTTGTTACACATGTATGAAACACTATGTACACGTACACTATGTATGAAACATTATATAATGCCAAAGTAACAATCGTCTGAGTGAATCTTACATTTCCATCAAAAACATCATGTTTTCTTTCCATAAAGAGGAATTGATGTAATGTTTTATGTTGGAGAGGCGTTCGTCTTGAGCATGGGCCATTTGCTCGTCTTGAGCATGTGTGACCTTTGCTCGTCTTGAGCATGTGTGACCTTTGCTCGTCTTGAGCATGTGTGACCTTTGCTCGTCTTGAGCATGTGTGACCTTTGCTCGTCTTGAGCATGTGTGACTTTGCACATGAGCCGACGAGACCTTCAGACACACTCACCTCTACAAGTTGTGACTGTGCCTCTTTGCCAGCATGAGCTGCCCTTCTAAGAGTTACACCAAACTCAAGTAAGCTTGGTCCCAGGAACGCATGTGACGAGACCAACTCTCTGGGTCCTATATCTTGCTGTGAAGGCTGCAGCGTTATGGGCATTTACCCCCCTAAAAAAACTGAATTTGTCTTTGAGAATTGTTCTTAAATCTTAGACGATCTCGTTGAATTTCTCTATATTTTCTATGAATAGGGATACTGATATTTTATAGAACCGATTTGTTGATTTCGTCAAACGTTAATATATATATATATATATATATATATATATATATATATATATATATATATATATATATATATATATATATATATATATATATATATAATATAATATAATATAATACATTTTATAAATATTGTGTCTCAAATGACACGTTACTGACGACAGCACCAAATGTAGCTTATATTATGGTCTTGTAAGAACCATTTTAAGTAACTTGAAAGATTTGTCTTTTTTTAAATATTTTTTGAGGATAAGAATCGACAATGTCTCCTCTGAAACAATTTTTAATCAATATTATAAACTAAATGTTATTTAAAATTATATATTATTGCATTTTTACTTGATTTACTCAAATAGATGACCAAAAAATAATGAAAGAAACATTTGGCCCATGACGTCCATTTAGAAATAGGCGTTTCCATAAAAGACAAAAAATGAAACTCGAGAAGGTACAGTTATGTACTCGGAGCCAGTACCGGGTTCCGACCCCTCCTCCTCTCCATGATCATTGGCAAATGGCGCAGAATCCTCCACACCAACCAGCAGGTGTCTTTAAAAATGGTAGATGATCTCACGGCCAACCCACACCGCCTATTGCCCCACATACGCTTACTGGCTAATAAGTCCCTCAGCCACGTTCCTGGGGCCAGATTCACGAAGCAGTTACGCAAGCACTTACGAACCTCAGGGGCCTGGTATGTATCCTTCTTAGTGTAGGCAATAATTATATATATATATATATATATATATATATATATATATATATATATATATATATATATATATATATATATATTGATAGTCTATCAAACTCAGTTTATCCGAATACTGGTTTCATATAAGACAAAATTTATCTGAAGAACCGGTATCACCAATGGTCGTGTATGGTGAAAAAATTAACATAGACATGGAAGGAGCAGCTTGCCCTCCCTCCCATGGCAACCATCCCTGCCAGACACCATGGCCGCCCTCCCACGGTGAAACAGCCATCCTTTCCCGACACCTGGGCCTTATATGAGCCACGCCCACGTTGATTGTGGTTGACAATTTACGTGACGTGGGCGTGAATGGTCTAATTCCTCCATGCTCTAGTGACAGCCCAAGATAAGTTGAAAGTCTTAGTTGGATACCAGTCTTGTGACTCTGGGACCCTTCTTTTAATGTGGCTTGTTCATAGTGGGGTTGACAGAGCTACTGCCTCTGGCTCCTTGGCCGGTGGTTCAAGGTTCCTAATGCCCTAGTGAATGAAATGTTATTATCCACGTTTATTATGGCTGACAGTTTATACATACATGAATACATATTATATATATATATATATATATATATATATATATATATATATATATATATATATATATATATATGTATTTGTGTGTTATCTTTTTCTTTAGTTAATATAAGTTTTCCTACACTATTTCCCACAAAGTATGTGTATGATTTGCTCTTTGCATTTAAATGTCAGGCTTTTCAGGCAGAGTTGTCAAATAACTCTTAGTAATGATTGTTTCGCATATCTTATATTGATAATTAATAGATACATTCTATTCAATACATATGATATGTATTTTGTATATTTTGAAACGGAACTCACTTAACAACCTCACCAAATGTAAATTTACCGATTATTCCTCATTTAGATTATTTATAATTATGGTAAAATTCGACCGATATAAAATAAGAACAAAAGTAAGCTTCTAAATATGTCAATATCGTGATATTTATAAAATTTATCAGGATATAGTGAAAGCAATATCCTGGCTAACAGGACGCGACGAGCCTTGCTAAATAAGAAAAAAGAATTCAATATATATATATATATATATATATATATATATATATATATATATATATATATATATATATATATATATATATATTATTATCACTAAGAATTCTAATTGACCCGGCCAGGATTCGAACCCATGCCGTCCAGGATCACCTCTAAACGTACTCAGTACTGTGACCACCACATCAATAGACGATCATTGGTGAGGTGGTCACGGTACTGTGTACGTTTAGGGGTCATCCTGGACGGCATGGGTTCGAATCTTGGCCAGGTCAATTAGAGTTCTTAGTGATCTATGGCTTACGTGTTCCTGCAGCTTTCTCACATATAAATAATATATTTGTTATTAATATTATTACTTTATTTGCCTATTTATTTCTTTATGTGTAAATATACATGAATAATATAAATGATTCTTACATTAACGTTTTCATGTACGATTAAAAAATAATTATATTTTTATACAAAAAGCCCATCCACCAGTTTTGGCACCATCTTTTTCTTGAAGTGTAAATATACTTAAAGTGTGACGAGCCAGATATTTAGAGAAGTATTCATTATCTTACGTCTTCTATAACACGGCGTGCAACTTCTGACCTGCAATATTGAATACCGACTCAAGTTCCTTGAGCTTAAAGTTGAGAACGAGCAATGTGTGTGATGGTGGTGAGGCGAGGGGACTGGTGCTGGCTTAGGGTGTTCTAGTGTCATACTGTAGATATCAGCTGGAAGGGCAAGTCAGGTGACTGCAAGCTGGACTTGTGCTGCACCTCAGGGGTGGACTCTGGCGTGGTCGGCGGTGCTGACCGTCGGGAAATACGGTCCAGAGACTGGTTGCTGCGGGCAGCCGCCAAGGGCGGCGTCGGAATTTCGTCTTGGCCGAATTTTTCGGCCGGCTTTTGGCTTGCTGGTTCCTGTTAGTAATGAAACAAAACAATGTATGGATTATTCAGCTGGATGAGGTAAATGCATAATACTAGAGCTCTAGAGCTGCGAAGAGTAATGGAAATGCAATACCACTTCGTTCAATGATCAATACAATCACAATAACTATGTATCTTCGAGACAATCTTGGAACAGTGTGTGAAATCGAACTTTATTTCGCACACTGCACTAAGTTTTTCAAATTTTTAGCAGATTGTCATATATGGTTTTTACCAAACATGACTGAAGTACCAAGTGCTACTTACCAAGTAGCACCGCCCAACCCTTCATAACAAGCAGATAACATTCACACTCTGGTTCGTGCTGCGCTAAACTGAACAAGCAACGCCAGATAACCTGGTGATCAGTGTAGCTTGCCAAGTAGCACTAAGTAACTAAACTGATAAGAAGTTACCAGGTAACATGGAAATACTCTAGCCAGGTAAGAGATGGCTGCGATTGAACAGTTTACAGCCGTTAAGGCTGGTGCATGAAGCGAGAGGGACGACCTACCGGTAGCTGTCATGAGACTGGATCCTTGGATGAGAAGGAATACTGCGAGGTGGTGTAGGTCGAGCCGTAGGTGTTCATGGAGAGATAGGAGGGACCGTTCTCCTGCTCCGGTGGCTTCTTCCTCACTGGCTTGGAGGACGCGTCGCAGGAGAGGGCGAACTTGAGTTCCTTACTCATTTCTGTCCAAACGGAAGCCTGGGGATAGTAAATTGGTAAGTGCTTGTGGCTTGTCTGCTTAGTTTGATCATCCAGAGGGAGGAATACGGGGCTTGTAGAGGGAGCTTGTCTTGTTTCCTTGATTCGTCTTTTTTTGGATGGGGGAAAGGTATTCCGTCATGTGTTTCAGTCGGACAGTTATTAGGGTCTGGGAGTTGTTAGATGTATTCTGGTGTGTATATATATAACATCGATGATCTACATGTTTCGGAACGGCCACAGCGGGGTGCCTGGGACCCATGGACGGGACGGGACATCACTCATGGGATATTTTCCCGCGGTACACACACACAAGGCAAGAGGGGACGTAACGCTTACTGTGGCCGGCGTTACATTGTGAGGCAAGAGAGGATGTGCATGAAAGGTATACATCGCAATGTGTTCTCCAGACTGATGTTTCGATTAACTTTCACAGATGAGTATTTAAAACACACACAAACACACACACAAACACACACAAACACACACACACACACACACACACACACACACACACACACACACACACACACACACACACACACACAAACACACACACATGTGTACTAATGGTGTGGTATACTCATACAGACGACATTTTATGTTGTACAAAGGCAACATAAAAGAGATAATGTGTTACAGGAACTAATACAGGTTAAGCAGAGGCGTTACATTGCTGTATGAGTTTACAATCAAAATATATCCCGGATACAAGTTTCATCACGAAATAAATGCTTAACTAAAATTATTAGGTTTAGGATTTTATGTTCTTGATTTTGTTAGCAAATAGATAGATATAAATTTGTGAGAAAGAATAGAAACGTTGCCATTTATTAGATAAAGGTAGAATAATTCAGTGAACGCCAAATTAGATGGAACCACCAAGGACATGAGTTAGGGTGACTGGAACTATCTTGCGTTCTTCTTTTGATTAAAGGCAAATTAATTAGAAGGGATGAGGTCATGAAGGAGGGAGTGAGGTCAGGAAGGTTAAGGTGGGGTGAGATCAGGTCAATGCAATTTTTATTTGTATATATATAAATGAGAAGACATCTAGATCATCATTACTGGAAACTCCGCCTTTAAAATATTGTTATGAAGATCGTGTGTTGAGGCCGGTAGCGGTCTACTCCACACAACCAGTTGTTTAAAAAGTAGTCTTGAAATTTCAGTTTGTCTCACAGTTTAACATAATACTGTTTTCTTTTCTTTCTGAATACCTTCTCTTGTAGTCTGCTTAGAAATAAAACTTCATTGAAGCTTTATAAGCCAACTTTTCATCTTACGTTTGTCTTTAATGTCTCAGTCACTATTATTTCTCTCCATAGTTGCCTCTCTCTCTCTCTCTCTCTCTCTCTCTCTCTCTCTCTCTCTCTCTCTCTCTCTCTCTCTCTCTCTCTCTCTCTCTCTCTCTCTCTCTCTCTCTTTCTCTCTCTCGCTCTCTACTTGCCTCTTTCTCTGTAGCTGGATCTCTAACTATAGCTGTATCTTTTTCTAAAGTTGTCTTTATATCTTTCTCACATAACTACTTTCTTTGACATTGTCTTTCAGTTCTGGCTGATAGCATCCACCCAGACTTTCTTGTTTTCATTTCATCAACCTAATGCCTCTTTTCTCTGACAATAAAATAATACTTTACAGACCTTTAAGTAGAGAAACTCAAGCTGCCCTCTCAGACTTATGACCTCATAATGCCCTCCTTCAGACGTGTGACTAGATATTTCCCTTATTCAGACTAGTGATCACTAAAGTGATCTCATTTCAGACTTGCAAAATTCTAGATTTTCGTGATGAACACACCTCTATGTTGCTGGTCACGATTGAATGCTCTTTTCTTACTCTAATGTTATATTTTTCAAGGGATAATGTCGACTGGTATACTTTATACAGGCAGTTCCTATTGGACATAATCATCATGAAATTTAATTAATTTTCTTGCTTCCGCAGCTTTATATATATGATGGATTTTTTCAGTTCATTTATTCAGTCTGAATTTTGTTTCAACCCTGTGTTCTGGATTTGTTACTTTGACAAATGCAAGTTAATACAACGGAGTTCTCTTTGGACTATTTGATAAAAGTTTGTTCTTCGGTTTCACGATACTGATAATTGTCTTTTAATATTTATCCTCTTTCCAACTGTTCCAGCAATATTGTGACTTGAGAAATGCTCATAAACTCCTGTAATATAAAACTTGCCTAAATTTTTATACTTTTCAGATTCCAAAGATTTATTTCTTCACTTTTATTTTAGTGCTACGGAATTTGCATTCATCTATCGTACTGTTCTCATATTATATTGGGGCGATTTTGATGCTATTTTGAGCTCCCCCTCTCACACTGTCTTGAGCACTGCTCTCACAGTATCTTGAGCACTGCTCGCACAGTATCTTGAGGACTGCTCTCACAGTATCTTGAGGACTGCTCTCACAGTATCTTGAACACTGCTCTCCCATTGTCTTGAACACTGCTCTCCCATTGTCTTGAACACTGCTCTCACACTGTCTTGAGGACTGCTCTCACACTGTTTTGACCACTACTCTCACACTGTCTTGAGTACTGCTCTCACGTCATCTTGGGCACCACTCTCTGTTGTGGAAAATGTCTCCTTTAAATTATTTGCCCTTGTCATTATACTTAATTTTACATTTCATCTTGAATCTGCAAAGTTGAAACTCTCTTCCTACTCCATCCACGTTTCCTACTGAAAGGAACTTACCAGTTGCTTACTACTGCTCCTACATGACCGGACAATTCATGAAAGCCAATTTCTTTTAGTATGTGTTTTGCTTATGTTGCATAAAGACCAATGTTTTTTTTGTATTTACTGATTAGATGGGTGAAAATTTTCCCTTTATGACACATATTGACCCATGTGATGCCTAACTTCATCCTTCTTGGTGATGTATTTGGTTGCTCAAGGGAGCTGCTTTATACTTCATATCTATCTTTAAAGATGTTGACAGGTTTAACGAAACTTATCTCTTAGCGTCAGGCCATATAAAATTATGTCTGGCATTTCTCCACAATGGTGGCATTTCATTTCTTCTTCTGGAACCTGTATGTTCATTTTTTCCCTGCACATGGGTATTCATGCCTGCTGCGGTGCATGAGTGCCCCTTTTCTTCTAATGTCCCCTTTAAACTAACAAATTGGTTTAATAATAGGTCTAGAGTTACTTTCTGGTCACGGTACATCTTTTGCATTGCTTTCAGGTAACTTTTTCCTGTGTTTGCTTCATATAAGCCAACACAAAATTCATGTTTGTTATACGAGGTCACGAGCTTTTGCGACCAGCAAGAATTGCCATCAGAAAAAAAGAAAAATGAAAACAGGATATCATCCCCTGTCGCCAACACACATCACCCTCATGTCAACATGTCTTCGTAAAGACCCATGTGATGCAGTTGGTTCAGTGGGACGGGACTCGAGTCATCCCGTATCAGAGCTATCGTCTGACTCTATACCGAACATCGATGTGAGGATGTGATCTCATTCATACTCCACGTGTACATCTCCACAATTTGATTTTAATCAACTCATGCGCGATTCAAATTGTATTCGTGATTGTAAACCGATTCAGACGGAGTTCAGTAGTTTAGTTATGATTCAAATCAATTAATAAAATCTCAGATCATGTATAAAATGCCGAGAAACAAGCAGCAACAGTCAAGAAATATCTCGACTGGGTCCTGGCCGGAGGCTCAAATATATCCATCAAAATTAAAACGCTTGTAAGCACTCACGTGTTCTTCAGTCGCCAGCTTTCTTGATTTCCAGACAAACTCGCAGACAGCGACGACGGAGGCGAGGCCCATACCGGCCAGGAGAACGACGAAGACGCCTCCCACGTTGTTGAGGCCGAGCTCGTTGGCCTTGGACGAGCTCTTAGACTCGTCGTCCTGTCAGCAGAACCTGACGTCAGTAGTGGGAACTTGGACAAGCACGAGCACGAGGTAATAACTGCACTCTATGGCTTCAACTCGTTTTAATTACTACTAATACCAAAAAACATTGAGTGGTTCAGTGATAAATATTCTGCAAATTAAACTAAATGAAAAATACAACAAAATTATATTACAGTAGTTTAAACTTAATATAAAATATATAATACTAATATGTACATGAAGGTTCCATAAGCCTCAAACTTGTTAAAATTATTCTTTACTACATAGAGGCCATACATGTATTTTTATAATAAAGATATCACTTCGTGAGTGAGTAATGAGGTGAGGGCGAGTCTATGAACAAGATCAAGATAGGAGAGTAAAGGTTCTGCTATAATGTCAAAGGAAAGTCAAGCAATTGATGTTATACTCAGGTTCATGCACAACCAGGAAGCCAGGATGAAGGGGGGTTCTACCACGTCACGAGGAGGGATGGACGAGAGAGAGAGAGAGAGAGAGAGAGAGAGAGAGAGAGAGAGAGAGAGAGAGAGAGAGAGAGAGAGAGAGAGAGAGAGAGAGAGAGAGAGAAGAGTATTCTACTTGAGTGTCATGCAACACCAACATGCTCACCGCCCTAGCATGCTCAATACGTAACATTAACTTATGTGGTTATTTATTGTATATTTATAGTATCAGAGTTTAATATTACTGAAAAGAAGGGTATGAATAAGGACGCGGACTTCCACCCAGTACACTACCGCTGTTACGGAACTGCAAGTGGAAGGAAAAACCGTGTTTACTGGCAATTCTGAGTAGGTGGAGGTGATCTTTAGGAGCCTCCCTACTGAGAGAGGTGGAGCACAAGGGGTGACCTCCAGGCACCTTCCTACTGAGAGGAATGGAGCACAATTGGTGACCCTAAAAATAGGTTCCTACAGTAGGAGGAGGAAAAGAACAAGGGCTGACACCATTACTCGCCTCCCAGCTGCACAAAATTCTCTCGTGATCTTATTTAATACGAACCAGGACACACCGGGTATTACTAGTGTAAGGAGTCATGTCTGATACGCTAGTGACAGTGTGATGAAGCCCGTTAACGCACACGGGTGACGGACAGTGTGACGCAGGAAAGGAAGACACCAGTTATTGATTAAGGAGCAGAAGATAACTGTGAGTTAAAACTAGTAGATAAAAGCATGTGATACAGGATATCATGTAAGTACTGGTTATCATGTGAATACTTATTATCATGTGAGTACTGGTTATCATATGAATACCGGTTATCATGTGAGTACTCGGTTTACTCGTGAGTACTGGACATCTTTAGTACTGGGCTAGTAACATACCTACACACATGTGGGACTAGACTAGCATCATACCTACACACACCTGGTACAGGACTAGTATCATACCTTCACATCATTCAGTACCCATATATTTAATAAGTTGAACGTCTATTTTGATCGCTACTCTTAAGCATTCAATTAGACATCCAGTTCACAAAATATATATTGAACATTGAAATAATCTGAAATAACTTCATCTGTGACTTCTTTTTAACGTGGTATACTCTTTAAGAAAGTTATACATAACTGTAAGAAGCATAACAAATGCACAAACTCCAGCGATAAAATAGGAAAATGTGCAACAGTCGATTCAAAGATTACCTGAAGAACTCAAGAGATGAGTTGAAACGGAATTTCAGCAACGCAAGAAGTCGACGGACGTTAACAGACATCAATACAATATCCTCGCGAAATCAATAAAATAAACAGTAAGCAACGGTTAAAACGTGAACGATGCACTACAAAAATAAAAAAAAGCACAACATGTGTTTTGAGCGAAAAACGGATGTTTTGGAGGTAATAAGCACAATGAAGATGATAAAGGGAACAAACAGATTTTCAGATCGCAATCAAAACCAAAAGACTCATCAAAATTAGTAAAAAGTTTGTTGAATGCTAAACGGAAAAAGAACAAGTATCTTATACAGAAAAAAAAATATGTTGTTAGTGGTTCAACTGTAATTTTTGTTTATAACGCCGAGAAATAGAATAAAGTTAAAAAATAGTAAATATCCCACATGAAAAAAATCATTTATTAAAATGTTAATAAACACGTGATTGTTAATAAAGATAATAATATGGTTTGAAGAGGTTTGGGATATGTGTTATGAGAATGGTGCTGGAGATAAGAGACTGAGCTCCAAGGATGGTGCTGGTGATAAGAGACTGAGCTCTGAGGATGGTGCTGGAGATAAGAGACTGAGCTCCAAGGATGGTGCTGGAGATAAGAGACTGAGCTCCAAGGATGGTACTGGAGATAAGAGACTGAGCTCCTAGGATGGTGCTGGTGATAAGAGACTGAGCTCTGAGGATGGTGCTGGTGATTTGATCAACACAGCAAAGAAACATTGTCCAGCTTTAACCCTCCATTGAGAGCACTTTCTGCCTGGCGGCATAGACCAATATAGCAGCAGGAAAGTGTAAAATGACGTCGTAATCTCTAGTGATAGAGATTAAGTCGTAATCTTGACGTAACCTAATTACGACGTAAACTTTCAGCACAAGGAACTGCTGAAAGGAGTCGTCGTGAAGAGTGTACAGCAGGTGTGTGTGAGAGAGGTGAACCAAGTTCTTGTGGAGTTGTGAATGGTGCCAGCAGGTGTGTGAGAACTGTTTTAATGAAAGGGACAAGTGGCAGGTTTGCAAAGTCAAGTGATCATTATTGCACAAGCAGGTGAAACGAATTCATAAAGTGGATACAGTAAATTCTTGCAGTACTTGCAGATATTTGGTTAAAAGAAATTACGTTTGGTTAATATTACAAGCGAAGTGAGAGAACGTACATTAACCAAGTACGTTAAATATTTGCGTGTGTCTGTGTGTGTGTGTTTATTATTTATATTTACTATTTGTACCGTAAGGATCGAGCTATTAGCACTTGGACTCCGCCTTTTTACCCGTCGGTTGTCTAATGTACTGACTCCCGACCTATTTCCTTTATCATATCTCCTACACACACACACACACACACACACACACACCTGTCTAACTCCCAGATACCTATTTACTGCTAAGTGATCAGAGGCATCAAATGATAGAAATTGTGCACATTTCTTTCTGCCTCGGGTGGGAATCGAACCCGGGTCCTTAGGACTACGATTCCCGAGCACTGTGTATTCACCTAGTTGTGCTTGCGGGGATTGAGCTCTGCTCTTTCGGCCCGCCTCTCAACTCTCAATCAATCAACTGTTACTAGCTACTAACTAATTCCCCCCCCCCCACGCACACATACCCAAGAAGCAGCCCGTTGCAGCTATCTAACTCCCAGGTACCTATTTACTGATAGGTAACAGGTGCATCAGGGTAAAGGAAAATCTGCCCATTTGTTTTATCCCGCTGTGACGGGAATCGAACTCCGGTCCCTAGGTCCACGAGTGTAGAGCGCTGTCCTCTCAGCCACCAGCCCCCCGTGTACGTTTTGTGTGTATGTATTGGCGAGTGTTTGAATGCTTGCGCATCAGGAAAACCTTTTAACTTTTCTAATATTTTAAATTTTTTACTTCTCGAGCAAATCACCTTAATTTCGTTTGTTTTCAATTTTATTTTGCGTTTAAATAATATGATTTCCTTAAACATCCAGGAGTTTTTTTTTTTACATTAAAAACAACAAATCTCAAATATTTTCTACTAGCTCTGAGGAGTTGAGGATGTATGAGGTCAATAGAGAATTAAGAAAAGGTGTGTTCTCAAATGGCAGTGTTGTTGAGCATGCAAAGCTTTGCTAAGATTAGTAACTGTCATATATATATATATATATATATATATATATATATATATATATATATATATATATATATATATATATATATATATATATATATATATATATATATGTTGTACCTAATAGCCAGAACGCACTTCTCGGCCTACTATGCAAGACCTGATTTGTCTAATAGACCGAGTGATTTTCTTTAAGAAAAGACTTTAAGAGGTTTGGTTAAGATAGATTAGGTTAGGTTAAGTAGGGTAGGTTAGGTTCAGTCATATATCTACATTAGTTCTAACTCAAATTTAAACAACTTAACTCATACATAATGAAATGGACAGCTTTATAATTTCATAAGAAAAAATAGAAAAATAGATAAATTCAAGAAAACTTGGTTTATTAGGCAAATCGGGCCTTGCATAGTAGGCCGAGTACTGCATTCTGGCTACTAGGTACATATATATATATATATATATATATATATATATATATATATATATATATATATATATATATATATATATATATATATATATATTCATTACTAAAACCTGATAATTATGAATAGCTTTGAGTTCTTCATCAATATGTTTTGTTGTAATATCCTCATTCTTATTATATTCTGCCAATTCATCTTAGATTAAATTTCATAGGTGATAATTGTGACCCAAAAAAATAGTGAATTACGTAAATATTATCTGAGATTTTTTCCTAGGCGGCTGTAGGTTGTGCTTGACACGAGAAGTGCAGTAGTGAGAGTTGCTCAATATTAGTATCAGTTTGTTAGGGAGGCGTTTAACTTATGGCTGGATTATATACATTGAAGGTGGGTACGTTTATTTTTCTTCCTTCTGGGTGGATATTTAAAGTGAGCTTAGTCTTTGAAATGAAGATAAAAATATAAACATTGTTGAGGAGTAATTTAAATGATGCTGAGCCAGACATGGATCCCATTGAAAGTCAGCAAGAAATACATGTGCAAAGGCGTTTGTTATATTAAATCTCATTCAATGTCTAAACTCACAGGATAAGTGAAAGGTTAAGAAAAAATTTGGTGGCGGTGTTAGGATACTTATTGATCACTAGCAATGGTGGGAGAAGTTTACTGGTGTTAGCAGTAAATGTTAGTACAACACCAAAAGAGGTTCCTCTTACTTTACACCGCCCCCCTCCCCTTTTGTGCTTCCACCAGCGCGTCCTGAGAGCCTGGAGTTTTCCTCCCTCTTGCAAGCTCAGGATAGCCCCGGTGATGGCGTTCGTGAAGGGTGACCCTGTATAAGGAACTGATCTATAAAAAAAATATTATTGGGAGCGGCAATTCCCATATTACACGGCGAGGCCTGTGGATGAATGAAAATAATCAGTGTCAAGACTAAATCCAAGCAGGTAAGGAAGACAGGTGCAGTGAACATTTTTTTTTGGTGAAATGCTATAAAGTTGCAGGAGATTAGGACTATGGAGATTCCTTCTAGACGAGATCACAGGACTCTAGCACAAGCTCGGGGATGCCAACTCTCAGGAAACAGGAAGCCATGACACCTTGTTGTATGAAACGTGTCATCTGTGTGAAGACTGGAGGCCACAACAGGTTAAGAACACAAATCAAAACAGTAAATTTGACCGTAGGTTCTCATGCAAGCAAGCAACTGGGAATGTTTGGAATATTGGAAACAAACACAAAGAGATTCATCACAGAAAAATATGAGCAAAATAATTGGCAGCAAAAAAGGGGATCAAAATAATTCCCATATCGAAGATGTGTATGACTTATGTATCTACAAATAACCAGGAGAGCAGTTTGTCAGCCTAAAAAATCATGATGAGTTTGATGAAGATGAGCAAGTGGGTGAGGAGCAAGGGTATGGGGGCGTGGGCATGGGAGCCTGTGGGCATGGGAGCCCCATGGATGTTACCTGGCAGGTGCCCCCGCCCCTCTTCTCCTTCCACCACTTGCGCTTCAGGGCGTGCAGTCTGCCCATCTCCTGCAGCTTCAGGACGGCTGAGTTGAGCAACGTGCGGTAGGGCGAGCCTGGTGGGGTGTGTGTGTGGCGGAACTTTCAGCATTGGCGTATTGCCCATAATGATTACACACACAAGTTAAAGAGAAATGGTTAAAGTCTCCGTAGCCGCACGCTGCATGGGTAAATGGGTCCCCCTCCTTATTGTGGCTACTGTAAGGTTAATGACAAAACTGTACACCTGCTAATGTTTACCTGGATACACATTTTCATTTGCAAATGTACAATGAAAAGTAAGCAATTGCGTGCCAGTTACTCCTTCTGAATATAAAAGATTTAGTGATATAAATATTCTCCAATTAGTTTGGTCAGCATGCAGTATTTGAGCATATATAAACATACCAATATATATAAATGTAAAACTTAACTTAAATATATACATTATTTACCTTAAGTTTTGCATTTATTATGTAGCAAGAGAAATGATAATCTATGCTCTCAAAATGAGGAGCGATTTATATCGCAGATATTACACGAAAATAGTTACACAAGTATTTACCATTGGTTCATTACATATCGATAATGAAGAAATACGCAGCAAAGCTTATTGGCCTTTACAAGGCAACTCTGATTTATATCAAACGACTCTGATGATCTTATCAACCCGTCCTCTCGAATAGTATTTTGACCTATAAATCCCCAACGGCCAAAATATTTTTTTTTATTATAAATCATAGCGGCGCGCAAAATTGACGGGTAGTTTGATGCTAGGTGAGGTTGATGTTAGGTTGTACAGGAGGCCTGGTCGACGACCGGGCCGCGGGGACGCTAAGCCCCGGAAGCACCTCAAGGTAAGGTAAGGGGCATTTTATTACATTTTTGTTACGTAAGAAAGAATGACCTACAATTAAAACTATGCTTGAAATTTTCCTATTAGTTCATTTCTGTAATGTTATACGGCTGCCTATTTGTCTGAATCCTAATTTTCTTAAAATTCAGTCTAATATTTAGTCCTCTAACTTGGGTTGATGTTCCAAGAATCACGTCCCGTCTTTCTCTACGAATTTAATTAGAATGTAAATTTACCAATCTAATTGTAGTTTCATGTTATGTGAAGAACTTTATGCTCAGGATTAGCTATCATGGTTCTCTTCTTACTCTCAAGATAATTGACGTTCATTGCATTGACCGATGTTCAAAGATGTACTGTTATGGAAGTCGGGTTTCACAGGCGACATAAAGTTGATGGGTAACATTAGACATAAATTACATTCTATAGAAAGGTCGACGATTATTCAAGTGAAGTAAACAAATTGACAAAACTATGTTACAAGGTGAATATTAATAGGTTGCTAAATATATATGATCGAAATGATGACACTGGTATATATAGATTCAGAAACAACCTGGGTAAAATAAAATTTAGAAAAAAGTTTATTAATATATAAAAAAGGATGCCAGGTAACATAATAGACGGGGTCGCTGGATTCTATCAAGGGTAGTTTTGAAGCATTTGTAAATGGTTGTGACTGGATATAAATAGGAACTGACTCACATAGGCCGCAAGGTTCGCCACAATATCCTTTATTCATATTTTAATAATGCCTTAAATGATTATTCTCTCTCATTTTATTAGCATAGAATGTCTTATCTCCTTATGATGCATTATCAAAGGTGAAATGTTGATATATATTACACATAAAAGTTTATTATATATATATATATATATATATATATATATATATATATATATATATATATATATATATATATATATATATATATATATATAGCGTGTGTGTGTTTGTGTAAATCACGAAAATTACCATGTGATGAACAGTGTAACAGTGTCAGACCAAGAAGGAAGGATTAAGACAGGAATTTTCTTAAGTACTTTCGTATTTAATAATACATCTCCAGAAGGATGGATTTACAAGTCCTACAGTAGGTGGGATATACAGACAAGAAAAAAGTAAAGTGGAGCACAATGTCATTATTGAGATTAAGGGATATTAATAAGGTATTAGTAAAATAAATGTGCATCACTGATCCTATTCAAATCTCCCTCTAACTGATCAATCAAAAACGGATCTAAATTATACAAACCACTGCTAATGTTCAAATTACATGATTTTGTAATATGTATTAAAGCAGATTCAATTAAGTTCCTATTGAAAATCCTTTTACAATTCTTTACTGAATTGATGAGATGATGAATCAACTTGGTGAGACCTTTCTCATCATGTGTTAATTTCTATGTGATCAAATCACACACACACACACACTATATATATATATATATATATATATATATATATATATATATATATATATATATATATATATATATATATATATATATATATATATATATATAAGTATATTTTGGTAGCAGTCTTTCTTGTAAACATATGTTGTTGAATATTATCGAAAAGGTAATGTTAATGATTCTAACAGAATCTCCTCAATATTTCTTACATTCTTCTTCACTGTCAAGGGAAGTTAAGAAATTAACTCTTCAAAGTTCATTTTCACACCTAATTGTGGTCTGACGCCTAGGGATGCGTTTCGCATGGTACTCCTTACATTCTCAAAGACATGTTTACTGCGTTTAGCACCGGATTATATTCTCTTTTCATATAATGTATTGGGATGTTGGGACAAACATGTGTTTGTCACAAAAGATTAGATTCGGAGAAAATCTGAGAAAAAAAAGCTCAAACTAAGTCGTCTGAACGGTTATTAAATAATGTGGACGGTTTGGGAAGCTATTTGTATGTGAACTTAATTTGCAATACACGGCCAGGTCACTGTCTATATCTTTATGGTTTAGTTCTTAAAAAACGAACTGTTCTTTGGAGGTCATATAGTTTATTTGTGTTTTATATTATCTCCATACATATATTTGCATGTCTATTTTCTGGGATCGTCTATCTACCATTTGTTGACCTAATAACATGGAATCAAACATTAATGTTATTCAATACAGGGAAGTTTAAATGCAAATCTAAACCATGGGATTCAAACACAGATTTTGAATCAGAGATTCAGTCATTAATACCATCTTAGGGTTGTAATTCTCTGTTCTGTTCATTGTCATTTTCTTATTGTCTTAATTTACGGAAATTTAGTTCAAATTGTATAGTGTTTAAATTTTGAAATGGCTTGTTCAATATAAACTATTGTAACTTTGACACTAAGCAATGTTTGTTTGCTTAATTACTTTTACCTGTTTTTATATCAGCGATGAAAATATATACTTTCGAAACGGCATGAAGATTTTTTTTAATTTACGTATGCTTGTAACAGTAACTAGCCAATTTATTGTGGCTGTATTAGTAACCGAATTTGATATTGGGTTAAATTAATGTAAAATCTATCTGGATTGTATTTCTTAATCAATGCCAAATAAATTTGTATATATACTAAATAATTTGGATTATATTCAGTAAAGTTGAAGAATTTGTGCAGTAGCTTCAAGCATGCAGACCAATGCTGTCCTTTGCCTAAAGGCCATAGAAGTTATGTAGGCGAGAACAGCAAATAAGCGTAAGAAGATCAAATCTACCAGGTGCGTAAAAGGTATAAAATAACATATATGCATAAACCAAATTATATACATGTTTTGACTTGAGTTTATAGTAAAATGACGGAAATATGTTCGGTTGGGTTTTTAGTATAATGTAGAATCCCATGTTGGGTCTTACCTGGGGGTAACGCAATACCATAGCTTTTGGAGTCGAGCGGCCCTCCGACCTGGGTTAGGTCGCAGTATCTCTCCGTGATGTACTCTATGCTGGAGGACTCCATCATGAACGCGTACTGCCCGTCACCCTTCAGCACCCTCTTCACACCCTCTTCGTTTGACTTGGTGTACACAGAGGGATTCTGAGACTCCATGAAACTAAACATCCGCTGGTAAGTTGGCATTTTGGAGGTGCTGAAAAAAACACATAACAAGACATATAACAGCTCGTCAGTGTTAATCGATTCTCAGTCAAGTCAGTCCAAGATTTTAACATTCATGCTCAATTATCCCGGGTCCTAATCGCCCATTCAACTTCAAAGACAGCGAATTACATTGCTATATTGCTACTCAGTGGAATCTGGATCTCAGGCTGACCCTACCTGAAGGTAGTGAAAGATATGTGTCCTCAGTCAGGTTTCAAATGGTCTACGACAGTTAAGTATATGCTGGTCCTCTCAACGATTTAGGTTATAGGGCGCTAAATAAATCTCAGCTGAACGACATGAATTCATTTTCCTGCCATTTACATTGGAGCATGCCATTTTTAATTAACTTAATAAATCAACGTTAATTCAACTATAAATCATAATTAATTCAACCTTAAAATAATGATATGAAATCAACTTTTAATTCAACCTTAAATCAACGTTAATTCAACCTCAAATTAAATCACATGTGATTAATTACATACACACCAACAAGAACGAATAGTTGAACAAAAAAGAATCACCCAAGAGTTCGCAAACAACAAATTCTCATTCACTTCCCACAAGCAGAGAGCTAAACTGAATGATGATGTCTTTACGCGAAAAAGTTCCAGGTGGAGCCGCCGTAGTAGGAACCATACTTGATCTTGGTCTGTTTGGCCAGGTCTTCGGCCGACTCGATGGGCGACTCCATCCGCTCGACGGTGAGGAAGGCGGCCAAGTTGGCGGTGTAGGAGGAGATCATTATCAGAGTGAAGAACCACCAGATGCCCGCCACAATCCGGGTGGACACCGCCCTGGAGGAAGGTTGGAGGCGAGGGAAGGGAAGGTGAGAGACAGGGTGGAGAGAAGGTGAGAGACAGGGTGGAGAGAAGGTGAGAGACAGGGTGGAGAGAAGGTGAGAGACAGGGCGGAGGAAAGAGAAGGTAGGAGAGAAACAGGGTGGACGGAGGGAGGGAGGGTGGGAGAGAGAGAGAGAAGGATATGCAAAGGTAACCGGTGCGTGTAGTAATGAAAGGATATTGTAGGAATTAGGGCAAGAGATGAAGGAACGTAGAAAAAAAGCAATGAGAAATTGATTAGGAATTATTCATATTTTACCGACATATATATTATTCATATATACATACAGATACATATATATACATATTTCTAAGAATTTTAATTTTGGTAATATAAAATATGAAACAAACCAAAATTAAATGAAAATTTATACTTTCCATTTAATCCTGAAGGGCTATTAGACGCAGAGAAAAATACGCTATTGGAAATGAACTAGTAAAGGTGGACAAAACTAGATAACACTTATCTAAGACAAGAGAAGTGCACTGGCATGCACTCGACGATCTAACACAGCAAAATCCTACACCACCACACACTACCACTTACAACACTAAGTGGACCTCCACCAGCCCGCCCCTCACCCTCGTCACTTTGCATTCCTCTCCCCCGACCATTACCACTTTACGCCGCATGTTATACCTATTTACAGATTTTCTTAACTTTAGTTAATATTATTTAGATTTAAGGAATGCGAATGGTATTTATATCCTACGAATTTTAATCACAAGTGTCTGTAACACGTATGAAGACAATTACAACCTTCCCCATCTCCCCCCAAGGCCCAGGCATTTATTGTTGTGGAATATTAACGGACGTGTCCCCGGACATCTTCTACAAATCTCTTCTTGAACTGATGGGTGAAGAGCTGCAAGACCTTGAGGGGGACTAGCTGGCGTTCAAGTTCGGTCATCTCAACCCCCCTATAGTTTCCCTGCCTGGGGTTGACTTGGAGAACGAGCTAACGTAACGTAGTGGGAGTGAGGAGCTGCCAGGAGAGTTAACTCGGAGGGCTGAGCACACACTTGGGGCCCGGGATGCGCGAGCAACAAGCAGGCAAGCAGGCGAGGAACCCAGGTTCCTGCTGATGGAAGAACTGATTATTAGGGAAAGGCTTTTGCTGGGGAGGGAGACACGTCTGCTGGGGATGTAGAGAGGGAGGGCCAGAGGCTGCTGGAGGGGAGGGAGGGGGGTGAACGTCGTGCTGCTGCTGCTGCTGCTGCTGGGAGCGCAGTTGCTCAGCAGCAAGAGTTGTGTGCTCGAGGTGATGATACACAGGTAAGGCCTATGACAGGGAGGGAACAGGGAAAGGCGTTATTTTTATTGTCCATGTCTCAGTAGAGATGAGTGGGGCAGGACACAAATTCATCAACAAAACACCGCAGAGGAAGACGCAAAATATTCGGTCAGTAACACAAGAGCTTTTTTCCTTACTTTTCCTTCTTCGTAGTACAATTCTTTATTTTAATATATTTTATCTGAATAAATGTGTTTCTCATTTATTTGTTGCCTTTTCAACACATAGCATACATAAGAGAAGCCTTTTAACAACGCTAAATAGCAGTATTATTTACATTAGCGAGTTCACCGATTACAAAGTTCTTAAACATTACTGAAACCTGGAACGATGTATAAGTATTTAATTCGTCAAGAAATATTACTTATAAATATTGAACGTAATTTATTGAGATGAATTTATTCGTTAACCAAAGTAATGAACGATCCAGTAGAGACTAATTGCTCATCGCCTCGCATTTATAAGGAACAATTTTGTTTTTCAGTTATAAAAATAATTAATGTCAATGCATGTTCAGAGCAAGGAGGTGACTTAAGGTCTCACTAGTTAGGGCAGGCATGTCGTAGACTCCACTACTCCCTCTGCTAGCGTCTAGTGCCCGCTACAGCAAACCGTAAAATGAACTAATTCATTCGTAAAGGTAAAATAAAAAAAATATCTTTCTAGGTTAGCCACAAGCCCTGTGTCCGAAAGGTTGCGTGAGGCTTACTTGGGCTGCTGCTCTGTGCCTTGCTGTAGTAGGCTGCCCATTGTAAACCAGAGCGAATTGAAGAGATTATATTGATTTTCCATAGTTTTCGCTCCCTCTTCTCTGCATGGAAAGGATGTGATCCATTCATAGGGACTTAACCTGTGGAGTAAGGGCACAGAATCGGACAAGTGGCTTACGACACCAAACACGGGGAGGGAGACACAAGAGGAAAGATGCTCCAATCTCTTGTAGCTGCAATAGCAGTGTGTGTGATGAATTCAGTTGACTATTGTAAAATGTGCATTGGATTTTGTAATTATTGACGAAATATATTTCTGTATATTCTTCAGTGACAATGTTGCAGGAAAATCTTTCCTCTATGACGTTAGCATTCAGGAGAGGATAGAGAAAGCGAAAGCAAGCGGCTCGAACGCCAGCCAGACAGGCCACCGACAGTTTCCATTGTTCCAGAAACTAGACTGAAGACTTTTCTGAAGCAGTGATGGAGGGAGACTCAGCAATCCTCTCTACACACTTAATCTGCGAGGCACTGGAAGGACCAAGCATAGTATTCTTTTGCGTGCGTGCGTGTGTGTGTGTGTGTGTGTGTGTGTGTGTGTGTGTGTGTGTGTGTGTGTGTGTGTGTGTGCGTGCGTGCATGTGTGCTGTTCGTGTGAGTCTTTGTGTGTGTCCGTGTGTGTTTGTCTCTTTTTGTATTCACCTAGTTGTATTCACCTAGATGTGCTTGTGGGGGTTGAGCTCTGGCTCCTTGGTCCCGCCTCTCAACTGTCAATCAACTGGTGTACAGATTCCTGAGCCTACTGGGCTCTATCATATCTACACTTGATATGATAGTGTACACAGTGCACATCCACCACATCAGTGCTTAATGCATTCCCTCTGTTAACTACTCTGACACTGAAAAAGTTCTTTCTAACGTCCCTGTGGCTCATTTGGGTACTTAGTTTCCACCTGTGTCCCCTTGTTCGCGTACCACCCGTGTTAAGCAGTTTATCTTTATCTACCCCTGTCAATTCCTCTGAGAATATTGTAGGTAGTGATCATGTCTCACCTTACTCTTCTGTCTTCTAGTGTCGTGAGGTGCATTTCTCGCAGCCTTTCTTCGTAACTCATGCCTCTTAGTTCTGGGACTAGCCTAGTGGCATATCTCTGATCTTTTTCAAGCTTTGCCTTGTGCTTGACAAGGTACGGGCTCCATGCTGGGGCCGCATACTCCAGGATTGGTCTTACATATGTGGAATACAAGGTTCCTAATGATTCCTTACACAGATTCCTGAAGGCAGTTCTGATGTTAGCCAGCCTCGCATACGCCGCAGATGTTATTCTTTTGATCTGCGCTTCAGGAGATAGGGTTGGTGTGATATCAACTGAAGTGTGTACTCACCTAGTTGTGTTTGCGGGGGTTGAGCTCTGGCTCTTTGTGTGTGTGTGTGTGTGTGTGTGTGTGTGTGTGTGTGTGTGTGTGTGTGTGTGTGTGTGTGTGTGTGTGTGTGTGTGTGTGTGTGTGAAACATTTAATGGATCGTGATAACCAAAGCAGGTCACTGATAAATAAAAATTTAATAATATATAATTTGTTTTGATTCCTGAAGTATAAACATATTTGTTATTGCAAACGACAGTTGGTAGAAATTAAAAATTATATAAGGTATTGGAACCTATATGATGTTATTTTGTTATATTTCACTGGACCGTTAAAATATTACTCACAACGAATAATATTGATGAATAATATTCTTTACTCATACATGAGTCCTTTTAACAAAGACTATAATATAGTTTTGGATTATCAAAGAATAAGTTTGCATTAGAAACTTCAGCATAGTGGTCAAAGGAGATTTTTGCACAATGATGTCACTTTAACGCGATCTATCAACGAGAAGACCGGTAACATCAATGAGGAAGATTCGAACCCGCACACTTCGTACTCCCAAGCTCACGCCCTAAACCACTACACCACGACATGGTAAAAGGAATGCAACCTGGGATTCAACTGAATCCTCTAGGGATCTTGAGGCTTTCACTGAAGCCTTATCACAGGTTTCACTCCTTGCCCCCATGTACTCTGGCTGTAGTCAAGGAGTTCTACCTTCATCGCTTTTCTTCAAATACTCAAATCTTGCCAATTTTCTCAACGTCTGGGCTCTCAGCAGCACACGAATTACTTACGGCTATTCGACCATTACCTGAGGATGTCCCCACAAAAATAGGAAGAGTGAAGACATTTTATTTCGACCACTTATGTAGATAAATTATTGGCTTACTATATTCACCTTTTCATGATCTCGGCTCTCAGTAAAGGTGCCAATTCATGGCGTTGGGGCCACACATATTAACCAGGCACCTTGTTATTAAGTCAATGACGAAAACAAAAAGAGAAAGGGTCAATCGTCCTGTTTTGACTGGATAACTTTAAACTTGACTATTCTTACCTTTACTAGTCGGTGTAGATAAGAATAAACTATGAACGTAAGTTTAAGGTGAGTTGAAAATAAAGCCGGCTAAGTTGCCTATTACGATAGCTTCCGGCAGCACGACATTCCAAGACAACCCAAGTTATCAAACATCTCTAATGCAAATGGCGAGTTCAAAGCTTTTTATAAAAATATTCAGCAGCTATAAATCCCCCCAGACGCTTCCTTAAGGAGACAGATGCTTCTTGAAATATATAAATCTTTCTCTTGCTAGACTACATACGGATTTAAAGCAGTATCTCGCCTTTATCTCAGATCCTTGGAGAGAAATACAACGAGCACAAAAAAACTGAATGTTTAATACTCTAATTACTTTCTAATTTGCTAATGTCGTTTTTAGTGTTGTCTGGCTGGCATTCAAAAGGTTTACAGAGATTCATCTTAAAATAACTGGAAATAAATTAATAAAGAGTTATTTTGTTATATGTATAGGAGGAGGAGCAAGGAAGGGGTGACATTCAAAGCTTAGAACTGGCGGCTGTCACGCTTAATGCTCGCTGACATTGAACTGGTACTGAATGTCGATACAAAGCTTTAGCTTACTTATTATTATTATTAATGTCTTTTAAAACAAAGCGATCTTACGTTCCAGCTGGCGAGCATTACTGACGAGTCCCAATATGACAGAAAGAAAAGGATACATGACAAGCAATCCAACATCAAGATCATCATAAGTCATCCTCCCGGTAGGAATAAAACAATCATTATCATTTCTAGCATACATTTGATCATTCTCTTCTCCCCTGTCTCATTCTTACTTCGGCAAGAGATCTCCTCCCTGCTGCATCAGAGAACCAATGCAGAACCAGAGGCAGTTGAGGAGGGAAAATTCATTGTCCAGTTTATCCGGGGACTGGTCGCAGGGGTGGGGGTTGGACCACTCGTAGGGGGAGAACCTGTGTGTGCACGCCAGGAGGCTAACTGTCTGGTGGCCCTCAGCCTTACAGTCGTCTGGTGGCCTCAGCCTTACAGTCGTCTGGTGGCCTCAGCCTTACAGTCGTCTGGTGGCCTCAGCCTTACAGTCGTCTGGTGGCCTCAGCCTTACAGTCGTCTGGTGGCCTCAGCCTTACAGTCGTCTGGTGGCCGCAGCCTTACAGTCGTCTGGTGGCCTCAGCCTTACAGTCGTCTGGTGGCCTCAGCCTTACAGTCGTCTGGTGGCCTCAGCCTTACAGTCGTCTGGTGGCCTCTGCCTTACAGTCGTCTGGTGGCCGCAGCCTTACAGTCGTCTGGTGGCCTCAGCCTTACAGTCGTCTGGTGGCCTCAGCCTTACAGTCGTCTGGTGGCCTCAGCCTTACAGTCGTCTGGTGGCCGCAGCCTTACAGTCGTCTGGTGGCCGCAGCCTCACAGTAATCAAAAGGTTCTTACAAAGTTTTATCTACGTTGTTATATATGACCTACCAAGGCTTATATCACCAACCACAGACTATCCAAAAAGGTTCTTACAAAGTCTTATCTACGTTGTTATATATGACCTACAAGGCTTATACCACCAACCACAGACTATCCAATAAGGCCTATCCCAACAACCCTAAACTTAATTCCCACCAAACGTTAACTTAGAACCCTTGATTACCTAACAAGAGTTTGCCAGCTGTCGTAGGTTATCTACCATATGGTAGACGGCTTATTTTACTCAGTGTTTGCAACTCGGATTGTGCAACATGATCTACCTACCATTGCTGATCTGATTTGTCTCAGCTTACCTACCGGGCTCTATTTAATAGTCAAAGCCTACCAACAAAGCTTTATTTCATTAGTGTCATTCATTGTATCAAACTCTATCTTAGAAATCTCTGCATACCTGCCAAGATTAATCTTTGTGATGGCCTATCTACCAAGCCTTTTCTCGTAAGCCTTAAACTACTAAGTAAACATTGTTTATGTAATCTGAGCCAACTTATCAAGAACGATATAAGTAATCCTAGAGTTATCACAATAGAACTACGCAATGATTCTCATAAAACGATTTAGATTAGTTTTAGTAAGTTCAATAGCTCGTATCAAGGGGAAATAAGACTAGTAATACTACCTATTTTAACATAACTTTGAACTAAATGATGATTCATGGCTATCTGATTCTCTGACATAACTTTAATAATGCCTGAAGTTGCAGAAGAGCTCTTGCCAAGGCAAACATTGCGTTCACATGTTATCACTAAGAATACGAATGGTTATCGAAGACTGAAATGGTTAATCACTTGGGTAATTGCATTAAAGAGGCGAGAACTTTTTAATATTAACTATCTTAAACAAGCATCGCTATAGCTAATAAAAATGCATATGATACAAAAATGCATATGATATAATATATATTTACTATTGCTTGTAAAGATGTCAACAAATATTTATCTGAAAGGGGTCCAAATAGTTTCCAGGAACTTGCATCGTTGTTATCCATTCCTTCATTTTCATCACATGTTTCTTTTATGGCTACACGCACACACTCACATAACTACACTTGCACATACTTATATCCATACACATAACACCTACTCATATACACAACAAATACACAACAAATCAAACACACATATTAACAAATATACTGACCCAGATAACCAAAAACAGACGCACAACCACACACAATGTTAATACAATGCTGACATGAGTATAGGGATGCAGGAGATCTGACAGGGCGTGCTATAAGGAATAAATAAAAACTGGATAATAAGTTCGAGGAACAAAATGGAATAAATGAGGAAGCCCAAGTATCAAGAGAAGAGCTAAATCTAGAATGGGAGAAAATTACAACCGAGAGAAACAGCACATGAAAGACAAGATTGGGCATAATCTACCAGGAGAGAGAGAGAGAAACATGTGGTTTGTGTTTTGACATGAGAAACTGGATGGTTGTGACATGAGATGCTGGTTGGTGGTGACATGGGTATAGGGAGTAAGCCCTCTTACTCACCTGTCCTTGCTGGTGAGTAAGAGGGCACGCATGAGTTTCTCCCGGATAGTTTATACCACCATCATCACACATCACAATTCTTCTGTGCAAAGAAGATTCTCTCATTTTTCAAGGGATACAGAATTTCACACACTCACACACACAAACACACACACACACACACACACACACACACACACACACACACACACACACACACAAACACACACACACACACACACACACACACGCGTGCACAAAACACACACCCAAACGCATAAGGGCACTACATGTAAGAACACATATACACTGGAGCATTCAAGTTCCCTACGGGCTCACCTTAACCCGTGGTACTTTGAATTTTCGTTCAGAATAGCTGAATCCACAACTACCACTAACTACTGTACCATTGTACAACCCTTGAACGTTCAAACAGTTTACCACACACGCAAACCCCAGATTTGCAAACATATACTTGCATACACACTTCCAAACATACAAAGTCAAAATTAAGTACTAAAACCCAAACACACACACACACACAACACAACACCCCGACGTTCAAAAGAATTAACATTTGTCAAAACGAGTTTTCTGACCTTGCCAGCACGAAGAGGAGAAGGGAGACGCCAAGGTAAGCCGTGGCCATATAGAGCCACACGTCCAGTGAGAGAGGTGAGAGGAAGCTGAACAGGTTTGGAGGCTTCTTGGTGGGTTTCCGGTAGAGGATGGTGATGCCTGTCGTAGAGAAACAAGTGGTCAACATTTAATGTCAATCCTGACTGATGACAGACACACACTGGGTGTTACTCTTCCCAATGCTTGAAAGTGAGAATAATGCAAGCGATGAGTCACAATAACGTGGCTGAAGTATGTTGACAAATCCACACACTAGAAAATGAAGGGACGAGGACGTTTCGGTCCGTCCTAGACCATTCTCAAATCGATTGTACACATTGAGAATGGTCCAGGACGGACCTAAACGTCGTCGTCCCTTCATTTTCTAGTGTGTGGATTGGTCAACAAGTGAGAATAATGTAAGGAATTGAATCTCACAAGTTGAACCTCTTCTCTCATAGGTTATCTTGTATTCTGAAATAAAATGGTAGCTTGCAAATAACAAATATAATTAATTTATTAATATTCACATTGTTCCTGCTCCATAATACGGTTGTAATTAATTAATTAACAACTGTTAAATAACTTCTCAGTGATCGATTTTATGAATTTTGGTGTTAAATTATAAAATTAAAAAGGTTAAACGTGGCATGTAATTATGGTAATTATATTCATGGATGATGTGTCAAGCTTTTTCGACACACGTATTGTTTATAAAGTGAATATACAGCTGCCTCGGATAGGTCGACGGGCTTTATTAAGTTTCCTCAACATCTATGTTTTCAATAGAACTGCGTTATGTGGAGAAGAAAAGAAATAATGAAAGGTCTTACACATTATTTGGGATACCAGGCAGTATCCGGTCTCTCTCTCTCTCTCTCTCTCTCCCAACATCCCTATCTTTCTCTCTTTCCTTCTCTCTTTTCTTCTCTCTTTCTCCCCCTCTCTCTCTTCTTCCCTCCCTCCCTTCATCCAATTCCCTCTGCCTCTCTCTCTCTCTCTCTCTCTCTCTCTCTCTCCCTCCCTCCTGTTCTCTCTGCCTCTCTCCCTACCTCTCTCTCTCTCTCTTTCACCCGTTGTCGTCTCTTTCTTCGTTCTCTGCCGACTTCCCTTACAACTTTTTATTTTCTATTCCCAAGTCTCCCCTCACTGTAATTAATCACCGTTCACTGCACGCTCATTTCCCCTTTCTTCTGCCAACATCGTCTCCCCTCTGTACACTTTCTGTTACATTTATTTCCTTCTATGCACACACCCTTCTTACCTCACTAATTTACCGGCACCACACACCACATCAAAAGGATAACATCAGCGGCATGTGCTAGACTGGCCAACATAAGAACTGCCTTTAGAAACTTGTGTAAGAAATCGTTCAGGACCTTGTAAACCACTTATGTAAAACCTGGAGTATGCAGCTCCAGCCTGGAGTTCATACCTGGTTAAACACATGACAAAGTTAGAGAAGATTCCGAGGTATGCTACCAGACTAGTCCCAAACTGAGAGGTATGATCTACGAGGAAAGGATAAGGGAGCTGAACCTCACGTCCATGGAAAACAGAAGAGTAAGGGGAGACATGTTAACAACCTACAAAATTCTCAGGGAATTGACAGGGTGGACAAAAACCAACTCTTTAGTACGGCTGGAACATGAACAAGGACACAAGTGGAAACTTAGTACCCAGATGAGCCACAGAGACATTAGAAGGAATTTAAAAGAGTAGTTAACAATTGGAATGCATTAAGTAGTGATGTGGAGGAGGCAGACTCCATACACAGTTTCAAATGTAGATATGATAGAGCCCAGTAGGCTCAGGAATCTGTACACCAGTTGATTGACAGTCGAGAGGCGGGACCAAAGAGCCAGAGCTCAACCCCGGCAAGCACAACTTGGCGAGTACACACACGCACCCACACACATTTATGCAAGTCCATTGTTTTTCGTTAATCTCTCTTTATACTCTGATACTGAATTACTTATCTCGCCTAAACCCCCCCACCCCCACCCCTCCGGCTAAAAAAAACTGTTGGTTAATTAGCGTCCGTTTGATAGTTATTCTCCCCCACATACAGTTATTATGACTCGCTCATCTGCGACAACAGACTTTTAAGTTGGCTCACAAAAAAGTAATTCTAGCAAGTGCTTGTTAACCAATCTTTGTCTCACAGTCCTGTTGGCCGAGTTATACTCCACCGCTGATGTTATCTGGTGTAGATGACTACAGGTGACGAATCTCCCAATTCTGACCCCGCAGACCTGCCAGTATGAAACCCCCCTCAGACCTGCTAGTCTGAGACCTTTCAGACCTGTCAGTATGAGATCTTTCAAATCTGCTAGTGTGAGATACCTGGATCTTTTCAACAACCTTTTCCACCCTCGTGCTCTTGACGCTATCTTCATAATGCATTCAATGTATTCAGTGCATTCAAAGTATTCAATGCATTCAAAGTATCCAATGCATTTACAGTATTCAATGCATTCAAAGTATTCAATGCATTCAAAGTATCCAGTGCATTCAAAGTATCCAATGCATTTAAAGGATTCAATGCATTCAAAGTATCCAATTGCATTCAAAATATCCAATGCATTCAAAGTTTTCAATCAAAGCAGGCTACTGATCACATGACCCTAAATAATTAACCATCCTGTGAAATTGGAATTTTTTGCATCGCATAACAACCTTTTTTATACAAACAATGTAATCCGTCGTTTAGTCTACGGTAGCTGCATAAATACATGATGAATGCCAAACGATGAAAAAAAGTAAGGGTGCCAATTCTCGGCGTTGAGGCCACAAATATTAACCAGGCACCTTATTATTAAGTTACTGACGAAAGCAAATAGAGACAGGGTCAATCGTCTTAAAATCTTGCTAGATCCTTTTATCCACAATCCACAAACAGTCTTATTACTGGTCTACTAATATTCCCTCCCCTTCTCTCACCGATTTCTCAATCACACACACACACACACACACACACACACACACACACACACACACACACACACACACTCTCCTGTTGGTTTACTAATTTCACAGAGACATGCTCCTGTTATCTCACTATAGTCTCTCCCGTATAGTTCTAGCGCCGGGATAATCACTGCTAAACTCACCATCTAGCTCACTGTTTACCGCCTGTTAAAACAACTGACACCTAAATCACTGCAACACAAATTTTACTGAAGCATTGATGAAATCATCACAATGGTGAATGAAATAGCAGAGCGCTGGTAATCGAAGACCCAGGAAGATTTATTTCAATGACGATAAGAAGATTTATTTAAGTCACGATGACTGAACGTAATGGAACGTTCAATTCTGGAACACCTGGAGCAACGAGACGCTACGTTGACAATGGCATTCTGGGTAGAGCAACACGGTGTTTTAACTAATGCGTTGCGTTTTTATGCTATAATAACCAACGTTACATATACAATCTAACCTACTATGAAAAGTAGGTGGGTTGCTTGGGTCCATACGAGTCTAGTTAGATTAGGAGGTTCGTTTTCTTTACGGAGTATCAAATCAAGAGGAGACTAAAGATTGGAGGAACATAAGGGTAATCAAATCAAGGGGAGACTAAAGATTGGAGGAACATAAGAGAAGACGCTAGTACAGTGCTAGAGGGGTAGGCCAGTCACTGTCTGTGTAGCAACAGTGATTGTGGAACGGCAACTTTGTTAATTATTATACAACAATGTTGTTGAAAAGCTACACTATCGTTGACTGTAATGCAAAAATGACGTGGAACGACTACACCATCGCTGATTGTATTGTTAAAATGTTGTGGAACGACTACAACTTTGCTGATTGTATTGCTAAAATGTCGTGGAGCGACTATAACTTCGCTGATTGTATTGATAAAATGCTGTTGAACGACTGGAATTGTGGAACACCAATAATCATATTGCTGAAATGTTCTTCAAATATTTGAGTTAAAATCGTACATTGGAGGTTCTACAAATTATCATCAAGAGGGATGAATTCAACACTCACCAAGGTTCATCCATGGCATGGTGAAGTCAACCACCTGCTCTCGCTCGTATGTGATGGTCAGGTCACCGATAGCCAAGTCTGCTTTCTGTGGTCAAAACCAACAAAAAAAACGTAAAACACTAATGTATATATATATATATATATATATATATATATATATATATATATATATATATATATATATATATATATATATATATATATATATATATAATCTTCATCTTCCAAGAAAAACAAGAAAAAATCTTGATGAGGATGGGTTGCAACAAACGCCAAATGCTCGTTAACCAACCCGCCAAACCACCTTGTTCATTAATGAATAAACACTTTATACATGCTTCACATTGATGACGAATGCACTTTTCTGGAACAGTGGTTCGTTCCCGTCACAGGCTCCAATGGCACCTCTATAAATGCTTCATTCACTTTCTGGAAATACTAGTAATAGCCAACAGAACCTTATCACCTAAGTTAGGTCTAACTATTCAGCATATGTTAATGTGAAATACCGTTACCTTTTATTTAAGAAAAACAAATCCGCAGTACGTTAAAATTGTTGACTGTGTCTTTTTGCTAGTTCGCCGCCTGGACGAGCCTAGCCTGAGGACAGGTAGGTGTGTGTGTGTGTGTGTGTGTGTGTGTGTGTGTGTGTGTGTGTGTGTGTGTGTCAACCTGTCCTCAGGCCGTGCTTATTAAAGCCGCGGCTCACCCCTTCCCCCCCAAGAAGCAGTCATAAATTTTTACGTAATGTGAATTAAAAATAAACGTTCTCATATATAAATAAATAGTATTATATAATAATGTTTTACGTATCATTAGACATAGGTGTTTAGGTTCTGTTGGCGATTATTTGTAAGTGTTGTACGTTGGGGAAGCATTTACAGAGCTGGGATTCGAACGGTGACGGTCATCAAAGCACTGTTCGAGAAATGTTCGAACGTCATCAGTTGTCGTGAGTAAACCGTTTTTCATTCATAAACAGAGGGTTTGGCGACTGCATTAACAAGCACTTGGCATTTGTTGATGAGGTCGGGCTGAGGAGGACGGGTTGTGCTGCGTATATAATGTGTTCAGGTGCTCGATACGTGGGAAGGACTTAACTGAATTTTTAAACACTGAAACTTTGATCACTCGAGTAGCTCTCAACACTCTGGCCTGCCCTTAAGGAAGGTTTCCTCGAGCAGGCAGCGGACCTTACTCACACAGCTGGTACACAATACTGGTCCCTCCCCCCCACACACGAATGATCATATCACTTTAGAGTCATTGTTTACTGCGAGCCTGAGCTTTCACCACAGCAATTCTGCCACGTCTGCACAGTTGTTTACCAACTACTCGAGTCATTCTGCATGTTTTAACTAAGATGTTATTGATTACATTATATTTTACGATAAAGTTGATAAAAGTTTTGTGGTGGGTTCACGTTTAATTTCCTTTCAGTTTTAACAAATTGTTTATTATTTCATTAATCTTCGTGTTAAGTGGTGATTATTATACGCTGATCATGTCTTATTACCCAACTCACCTGATCAAGAAGTTCGCCAATCATGCCGTTCCATCTCTTCTTCTTGTCGTCGTATTTGCCATGGGAACCGTCGGCAGCGATTCTAATGGTGTAGTTGAAGCCTAACAGTTCCGAGATCTCTTGAATGAGATCGATACAGAAGCCCTCATAGCGATCATTTCCCGTCATCTGTTCTGAGGTCTCCTTCAGCATGGTGTAAGGGTCAGCCTAAAACACACAAATTCGCACATTATTATTTGCAAAAATAGGACATAGTTCAAGACCAAACATAAAATTATATAGCCATTAAGGAAGGGAAGGGCATTATGAAGGGAGAGCGCCAAACCATTACGACTGTATTGCATTGGGAAGGGAACAGGATAAGTATTTGGGACGGGACGGGGGGGGGGGGGAAGGAATGATACCCAACTACGTTGACGTTTGGGGATTGATCGCTGACCCGCATGAATGGAGATCGTCACTCTACCGTCCAGCCCAAGTGCCTGGGCTAGCCATTAAGGAAACCATTTTTCATATGTTGAGTATTTATTGCGAGTAAGAGGTAAGAGCGTAATGAATAACTGGTAGAATTTTAATAAAGATGCGGGTGTTGTGGTGTAGTGTACTCAGCTACTGTAGTTCCACCTGCAGGAGGAACGCAGTAGCTGAGTACGAGGACTTAGCGGCTTTCCACAGCCTCGGTAGATAGGCCACCAGGATTTAATAAATCCACCAGGTCTGTAGTGTACAGCATAATGCGGCTAATTCAAGTCCGATATTTGGCGGTTGATTTCTCGCTAAACACTTGTGTATATCAATGGGAGTCGGAAGAATGTAATGGGAGAGTAAATCTCTGATATGTTTATATATGACAGCTCTGGAGGATAACAGTAGACCAGTGTTATGAAGCAGTGGTAGGAATGCTGTAGATTATTTTGTGGAGTTTGGTGGTGCTGGTTGTCCATGCTGTTGTGGTGGTGCTGGTTCCCTGTGATGCTGTGTAATGGGTTAGATGCGATGCATGGAATGATGTTATATTTTAATATCTTTAGGCTTCCCTGCCTTTATTGCCCTATTTTCTCTGGGTTGACGGTCACAAGCTCATGAAAGTGAGAAATAGTGTAATTATGAAGATATGATGGCAACTATAACTGAAAAGGAAAGCACAGAGAGAGAGAGAGAGAGAGAGAGAGAGAGAGAGAGAGAGAGAGAGAGAGAGAGAGAGAGAGAGAGAGAGAGAGAGAGAGAGAGAGAGAGAGAGAGAAAAAAAACTTTTGATAGAGGACAAAGCGAGTAACAGGAAGATAAAACAATAATTAGGTATATAAACACAGATAGACAGGAATACATTAAACCAATACAAAATTGAAAGATAAAATGGAACCTAATCTACATATATATAGATCGTATTTCTCAGTGGCTAGCTACCTGCCAGATGAGATTCACTGAATCAGTCCATAGCTCGCCAACCTCTACAACAGAGGTGCCAGTGCAAGAGTCAAGTGAGTGAGAGAACCCACTAGTGTACAGGGAACGATATACAACAACCGTGCGAGTGGTTGGCAAGACATCTGCTGATAATGTCTTCAATAATTCATGCAGCATTTTATCAAATTCTTGGCCAGCAATATTTCACACTATCTCTGGTGCAAGCAGCCGGAGAGACATGTGGTAAGGAAACACATTTGAGGAACATGTTTCGCAGTATTTTACAGGGAATGTCAGACTTACGAGGATGCTGGTCACCATAAGGGTCTTGTTCTGGAGGCTCTCCACGATGCCTTGCTGCACCTCGCTGTAGGTCCTCGTGTAGTTGGCTCCGCTGGTCGGGTCCCATCTGTACCTCGCCACCACCACGAAAGAGAATGTGTTGGTTGAAAAGAAGTTATAAAATGAACGTGAAACTATAAATTCAGTGACGATTTATGCTCACAAACGTAAACAAAATCTCAAAGGCGCGCGCACACACACACACACACACACACACACACACACACACACACACACACACACACACACACACACACACACACACACACACACACACACACACACACACAAGCAGCCTACTGTGACTCACCGGCCAACACGGCTGAGACCTTCCTTCGTCAGTTCTACAATGTCGAGTGTCACGTCTCGTCGAAAACCCTCCGTGTCGAACTTGATGAGCCCCGTCAGTCCATTCACCTGCACCTGAGAAATAGTACAACAAGTGATCAGTAAAATTTAACTCAAGAAAGTGCAAAGTAATAAAAAAAATGGGCGCAGGGAACAGATGGCCGGGCCCAATGTACTAAAATGGGTTACAAAACCCTTCAAGAATCAGGGAGATGTAATGACCTTATAGTTCAGATGAAAACAAACATGTTTCCTGAAGTTCACATCAAAATGATATCTGTTGTGTGTATGCAAGATTGGCGTACATAATAAATGCCTTTAAAAAGCTGAATAAGGAAGTATTCAGGATCTTACCTACCACATATATCAGAGTTATTCTTTGGCGCCGTTTGAGTTTTTTTTTAACTAGAAAACATGAAGCAAAGTTGAAGAAAGTCTGAAGATATATTACGAGACTAAGAGGCATGAGTTACAAGAAAGATCTAAGACATTGACATCCACACCCTGTGAGATTCTTGGCTCTTTACATGACTATAGTTCAACATATATTAAGAAAAAAGGTTTATTTGCCAAAACTCGGTAATGTTCCACACAGAACGTCTTTCCTGTCATCCATTACGTCACAAGGGACTACAGTCGTACAGGTAACGTAACGACGTCACAGCCACAGCCACAGCACGAAAATAGCGGAGACTTGAGAAGCTCCATCATCCAGTCCGCTTGGACAAGAGCGTCCACATACCACATCGCCCGTTGTGCAGGCAATGTTTCCCAGCACTGATAGGAATACACCCGTGAGGCGGAGCTACTCTTCCTCGAAGGCAAAATATCCACGCACCTCCATAAAAAGAAAGTGTATCTGATTCTGTTTTTGGTTCTGAATTTCACGGTATTAACATGCCAATAGAATATAAATTATTATTATATAGTAAATTATTCTACAAGACTGTTGAATAATGACTGACTGAACAAGATCTGTTTAAAAAAATGAGGAGGTAGAGATGAGTGATTCGTGAATGAGGAATTCCCACCGCCTGAAAAAAAACCATAAAAACCCACTATATCTGCAACTCACGCACAGTGACAAGTTCACTTTCCTCATGATTTTCCCTCGAACGGAAATGCAATATTTCTTTCCCCTCTGCATTATTTTGCATGGCTGTAATATCATCAAATAAAAATTTTCCTTTTATAATTGGTCTCTTTTCCCTAAAAAGAACAATCCTGTGGTCATTAGGAACATCCTCTTCTGATTATTAAGATAAGCATCGTTTCGTCTCCTCTTTTCCTTCTCATTTTCCTTTACTGCCTCCCATATCTTCCAGCGCCCTGCCCCTTGCCTTATCTAATAGTCCCATAACATTTATTTCACTCCCTCCAAATGGCTGAAGACTCTCCTTCCCTCAGGATTCAAGTGCATTGTCTTCATCTTGACCTGTTGTTCAGTTATTTTATCTTTCAGCTTGTCTTTCTGATATGTTTAATACTTGTTCAATCCATCGTTATGTGTAGTCCATACGAGTCTTCTCTTCCAGCCTATCCCATTACGCTTATTTGAGTCAGTAACATTGTGATTACGAGACAAAAGTGCATGGCTTATATAGGGTGCCACTATCAGGGTGCGACTGAAAACGTTCCACTTGCTAGGGTGCTAGGGTACCACTGCATGGGTGCCATTACCATGGTACCACTACCAGGACGCCAATGCCAGAGCGCCACTGCCAGGGAAGAGGCGCGTACGGAGTGAAGTCCGGATTTACTGGGATCACAGGCTGCTTTACCGGACACCTGTATGTTACGGAGTGAAGGAGAAGGGCTCAGGTGGCTTTAATGGCGGCACTAGCGGAGAGTGGCACTTGTGGAGGGTGGCAATAGTGAAGGGTGGCACTAGGTGTGGCACTAGTAGAAACTATATAAGCTGTTCTTCGACAAATACCGTTCTTGTAAATCATGATATGGTGCATCTACTTTTAGGATAAATATTTGCATATACATTTTTAAAGACTTACAAAAACATCAGAAAGACACATGTACCATTTGATTTATGCTATTTTAATTGTACATTTCAATTTATTTTAATAAGGTGTCTCCAGAAAAATAGTGTCTGTTAGTTGACTTATCATCATTCACGAACTAATAGATATTTCATGTTTATTTACTTTCAAATAAAGTGCAAGAAGTGTGCAGAAATACAAACGTAAATGTTAATATGTTTTTAGCCTTAAAACACATTACCGAGTGTTTTAATCCGAAGTAATACTGTTGTGAGATATAACTATTTTGAAGTCTAAATGGAAAAACATTTTTCGAGGTTGTCAGCACGAACGGAGCATTTTTTTAAACCATTAATTTATTGTGAGTCTGTGAGTTTGTGTGTCTGTGAGTCTCTGTGGGTGGTGATGCTGATGGTGATATGGAGTGCTTAGCCTGGTGGTGATGAGAGCTGATGAGGCTTCTGGTGATGAGAGGTAATAAGGCTGATGGTGATCAGGGGTGATTGGGAGGGGGGGGGGTGTTGAGGCTTGTAGTGATGAAGGGAAATATGTCAATTGGTATGAGGGCGTGATGAGACTGATAGAGAAGAGGGGCATATAATCTTGTGGTGAAAGAGGATGGTGAGGATGATGCTGGAGTTAATGAGAGGTGTTTTAAGGGTGTTGAGGCTGATAGTGATGAGGAATGATGAGACTATTGGAGATCTAAACTAGAAAAAACAACATTGAACATTGTAATGCAAGTAATTAAATAATATTTTCAACAAGTTTAATTACTTGTTCCAAAGATAACACAATGAAGAATCAAGCTGCCTTCAGAACAGAGATCAAGCTAACAAGCTAAAGACACTCTGTAAAATGAATGTGTATGATCAGACAGCTGGCGGAGGATATATTTGCATAGAGAAGACCCTTGGAAAAGGCATCGAATGGAGAATGAATGGAGGTCGGGAGCTATTCATTAAAAATGGTCTTATTTTTAGGATGGCAAAGTTAATGAATGGGTCTTATGCTTTCAAAGAGAGGTGTTTTCTACGTATTTCGACAGTACAGATATAAATAGACAGAAACGATGATTAAATAAGACTATGATGTTTAAAAAAAAATACAAGGAAATCCACTTGCCTCTACCACTAAAAAAACGTATTTCAAACGCCTTTCTATTGTATATTGTGACACAGAATTTGTTATATTAGAGAATGATGTATAAATTCCGGTCATATCTGCGCCTAATGCGGAAATATTTTAATTCTATCAAAATGTGTATATCTGGAAACTATTTATAGTTTTTTATCCCCCCATACATCAAATGTCACTGAATACACTATGTCACTGATGTACCTGCCGGTGTTATTCATCAAAGTTCTTTTACATGTTAGTCAACCACAATGAACAATGAAACATCGTTTGGACAATTCCTCAATCAACTTGATAATGATCCAGGACGGACCGAAACGTCGACGTCTCTTCAATTTCTAGTGTGTGGTTTGGTCAACATTTTTAAGCCATGTTATTGTAACTTTCCTCTGCAGCTTTTGAACAATATATATACACAGACGAGAGGTGAGTTTTTATGTTAATTATCAAATCAGGTTATGTTTTTTGGTTATTTTGTAACATTATATTCTCCTATAATATTTTTGGAACAGTGTCTATGGATTAGTTTGGTGCTAATTGTGTTTATTTTGGTAGCCGCTGTGATCATAATTAGATTGAGGAAGAGCTGTGATCATAATATGATTGGAAAAGAGCCGAGTAAGACTGAGCCGATTATACGTGTGAAATATTTATTTAGTGGTACTACCTACTCAGTTTCAAGTTATTTGTATATATTCAAGATTAACTGAATATCTATTAACCATTATTGTAATTTCATTCATGATATTGATATTGAGTATCTGAGAAGCATATATGCCAGAGGTGTAAATTAATATCTCACACGACAAGTTTGAAGTTGAGATTAATCTGGCAGACGTGATCATGTCAGTGCTATCAGCCTATCCCACACTACGTACATTATTCATTTCCGATAATTATTATTGTTTGTTTAACTCTTTCTTATTATAATTGCAGATATCATTAATTATTATTATTGAATATTTCATTCATTATTATTAATGTTATTATTGTAAGGACATTGTTATTAAATTTATATTTGAAATTAGTTGTATGATTATCTCTGTTAATTAGACTGTATTGGTTGCTCTCAGTATTCAAAAATATTCCAAGCCACTCCTTGTTTCCATAATGGTGATTATTATGGGGCCGAAAATACTACTAATCTGCATATGATTACCGTGTTTATCAGAGAAACTCTGATTAAACATTACCTGGCTAGAGTGTATGGTCAAATTATGTAAATTGTAAATGAAAAAATATATTTTTCTTTGCTACAAATTATGTATCATTTATTACCATGTTAATGACCCGCGTAATTATTGTATAACAATTTTACACTAGGATTGTGGAAGTGTCTGCCAACGGCTATAGTACCTAGCTGTGAAGGGGGAAGGAGAGCCTAACTGACACCTCACTGTGAGGGGTAGAAGAGACTCACTAGGACCTAGGTGTGGGGGTAATAGGGCCTCACGTTTAACGAAATACTCTACACCAGAACATAACATGTTCTGGTGTACAGAACAGAACAGAACATGTTGTGGTCTTCCACCACAACAATCCACCTCACTATAAAAATTCTCCACATCTACACTTCATCCTACATCTTCACACAGTCACCATAACACTCCACTACCTGAACACCATTTCAACCACCACAACTAGCCGCTACCACAACGCTTCACACACGTAGAATAATCCATGTGTCCAGCAGTCTTGCGCAACTGTTCCATACACTAGCTCTGCATTTTCTTGTATTGGGTATCCACTGAATTGTTAAAAACTTTGCCCACTCTCATGTAAAATTAAATTTCTTTCATACATAATCTGCCTTATAGCAATGGGAACCTTATGCTTTGCCTTCCCTTCATATTTATATTTAACAATTATTTGACACCAGTAAGAATTGGCTTTTCTGGTCTTGGGGAAATGGTAGAAAATATTTCACCGCCCTTGGCTTATGTT